GGAGGTGGAGGTAGAAGCGAGCCGAGATCGCACCATTGCACTCCAGCCTGGGCAACAGGGCAAGACTCCGTCTCAAAAAAACAAAACAAAACAAAACAAAAAAACAGAAAAAAAATAAAGAAAACAAGTGTACTTGATTCCTATCTTCCCCAGCCATCAAAATGCATCTCTCTCTTCCTAAGACAATTCCAAGGAATGCTTAAGTGAGAGTTCATAATTTCGCACGCAATAATTTGCAAGCACCAGTCCAAAACGAGCTCAGGTGCAGCTTCTATAAATGGTAAACTCTCAAGGCTTGCCAGCTGGAGGTGTGACCTGTCAGCAAACTGGTTATAAGAGCAATTCATTCTGTGAAAGATACTGTGCAATGACTTCTCTGAAATATATCCCACAGAATAAAAGGGCTTCTGTTTGTGCAGAAGCACAACTGACAATTGCATCCCAATAGAAACACTAAAAACAATCTAATAGAGATTTGAAAGAATCAGAACTCTCCTGAGAGCCTGGTGAATCCAGGTGCATGCTCTCGGCTTGTGCTCTGGGGCCCAAGAAGAAAAACTGGGCAGTAATTCAGGTTGAAGTTTTGCAGGGGGGAGGTGAGAGGCCCCTAGAGGGAGAGAAGCAGAGATGATGACCAGCAGAAGCATCCACATCTGTGCAGCAATCAAAACAGTTGGATGGGGTTGGGTGCAGTGACTCACACCTGTCATCCCAGCACTTTGAGAAGCCAAGGCAGGAGGATCACATGAGGCCAAGAGTTCGAGACCAGCCTGGCCAACATGGCAAAACCTCATCTCTACTAAAAATACAAAAATTAGCTGTATGTGGTGGCGTGCGCCTGTAATCACAGCTACTTGAGCTAACCAAGGCTGAGGCATGAGAATTGTTTGAACCCAGGAGATGGAGGTTGCAGTGAGGCAAGATCACACCACTGTACTCCAGCCTGGGCCTTTAGAAAGACTCTGTCTCAAAAACCAAAACAAAAAAAAAGTTGGATGGGAGTGAGCTGATGGCTATGTGGCAGGATCCCCTTTCTGCCAGGAGCAGGTCATCATTTCATGACCTCTGCTTCCCTTTGATGACTTTTATTCCTCTCCCTACAAACACTTCTACCTCTGCCTGGCATTCCAGGCATTCCTGCCTGCTGTCCAACAGGCCAGGATTGACAGACACTAAATCAACCTCGTGACACCATGACATTAACCGTGGGGCTCCTGAGATGAAATCAGGAGACAACTTTGTTTTCTCACTTGGCCATTTGAATCCTTCTTTTGGGCTGGTTCTTCCTCTACTGTTCAGATAAAAACTAAGATGAATCACTTAGCTCTTAGTCACTCTCAAATAACAAAAAGTGTTCCGATGATGTCATCATTAAAAATTAGTCTCAGTTCAGTGATGAATATGTCCAGTCCAGTGCAATAAGTAAAACTGTAATCTTCATTAAAAGTTAAAGTCTTCCCTCTCAGCTAAGGCCTGCATAGGAACAGGAAGCTTGTGGCTTCTCTCTCATTTCTGACTTTCCACTCCCACAACTGGACACCCCCTCACTTAGGTGCTTCTGGCTCCCAGGGACTGAATGCTCCAAAAATCCTCTTCAACCATTCTAATTGATCAGACACTTTGATGCCTTTCATGTGGGCAATGAAGTAAGAGTTGCAAAACTGGCTTTGACCCCCTAAATCATTGATTCACTCAACCAATTCATTAAAATATCCATTTGACTTTTTGATTTAATAATTATTTATTAAATATCTGCTGTATGCCGAACACTGTGCTAGATACTGCAAGAAGACACACTCCCTACCATCCAAAAAATTTCCCTGTGGTTCAGATGAGAAAAGATGCCCTGTTGTCTGGACTGGTCTCGATCTCCTAACTTCAGGTGATCCGCCCACCTTGGCCTCCCAAAGTAGGTTACAGAGGTGAGCAACTGCACCCGACCTGGAAGTGGGATTTGAACTTGAATCTTAAAGGCTGTGTAACAATAGCTCAATCAATGTTTTACATGCATATTATTACTTAATCTCTGTAACAACCTTATGAGGTAGGTACTATTATTATCTGCAGTTACAGATAAGAAAATTAAAGCATAGCAATATCAAGTAACATGTCCAAGTTCACGTAAGTGGGAAGTGAAGTATCAGAGATTCAAGTCTAGGGCATGGGAGAATTTTCCAGAATAAGAGGTAGAGGCGGAAAGTGTTATAAACCAGGAAACAAAGCGAAGAAAGATACAGAATGGTCATGGTGTGGATTAACATAACATCCCATTCTGACATAAGGGAATAATCTCAGGAGGCCTGCTACTGCTTAACAGGCCAATGGAAGATGACTTGACGAATTAGATGAGGCAGTTTGGACTCAATCATCTCCAAAGTGAGTAGCCATTAAGCACCTTTCACAGAAGAGCACAGTAGGTTCTGCTTCCATCTGTGTTCTCCCACTTCCCCTAGTGCTAACTGCGTGAGATTTTCTTAAACTCAGCCCTGTCTTCATTTCACCTCTTTATTTCTTTATTTTGGCAGCAGGATTTGATCTGACCACTCCTATATGAGGAGAGTCTCTATCTGCACAGTTCATCTTTGTTACTTTCCTTTTCTGTAACTCAGATAAATAAAAAAGCCCATCAAAAGTCTCCAGTAGGGGGCTGGGCACAGCGGCTCACACCCGTAATCTCAGCACTTTGGGAGGCTGAGGCAGGTGAATCACTTGAGCCCAGGAGTTCGAGACTAGCCTGGCCAACATGGTGAAACCCAGTCTCTACTAAAAATACAAAAATTAGCCAAGCATGGTGGTGCATCCCTGTAATCCCAGCTACTCAGAAGGCTGAGGCAAGAGAATTGCCTGAAGTCGGGAGGCAGAGGTTTCAGTGAGCCGAGGTTGATAGCACCATCACATGACAGCCTGAGCGACAGAGCGAAGACTGTCTTAAAAAAAAAAAAAAAAAGAAAAAAAAAAAAAAAAAAGGATAAGAAGTAGGGAAGGCTGCTTGAGTGTCGTCTTTTAGTCTGTTTGGAGGGCTGGCTGCAAAAAGGAAGACACCTAAGAGAGGAAGAAGAGTAGTCAATACTAACGGACAAAGGAGCTGGATGACCTGGAGGATAGAGCTGTCAAAATGGAAGAAAAATTCATTTACGTGCTCAGGAAAGACAATTGCGTATGATTTTCAGTGGGCCTTAGGAAGTGTGATCTAAACCGCCATTTTGCCACAAGGATGCCTTTCTTTTTTTTTTTTTTTGTATTTTTTAAATTGTATATTGCCTATTGCTATGTTTGTTGATTTATAGAGTGATGTCCTTATACAATGATGAAAACTAATGGTTTTTCTTCAAAAAATCAACTTCAAAGTGTTGCTCCTTCATGTTTCCTGCGTGAGCATTCCCCCTCTAAGCCAATGGCTACCCATATATGCTTTTAATCCTGAAAAATAGTCAAATGCATCACTAAGATTTGAGTATCTAATAATTCCCCCCAACTCCGATGTGTTTGAATAGAATCCCTTACTACTACTTTTTTTTTTTATTAGAAACAAATAAAACAACAAACAACAAGGGCAATGAGATAGCTGGAGAGAGAATGGGTTAAAACTTCAAAACTTGAGTGTGCAGTCTGTTCCTGGGTCTGTCCCTGTCACTGTAATTCCTGTAGGGGTTCCTATAACTTCTGTCAGTGAAGTACAACAGGGAATTCCGAAAGCATTAGACATAAAATACTTGATATTTTTCCGTGTGGTTTTCACTGCTTCTCAGAGTAGGTACGGTCTCAAATTTTGGATTATCTCTTCAGGCTTTTCTTTTAAAAATAACTTTTGAAACCCTGTTTGTGATTTCTGAAAAGAGCAGCAAATGTTTCAAGTAAAAAAGGAAAAAAAAAAAGTACATGAGATGCCAATCTAAGAGATTCACAGTGAGGTGCTGATGAGTTCTGTAAAAATTGTGTTCAATTCTGTTTCACCTGTGAGTTTCTGTACTGTTTTCTTTTTGTAATCACAATTATTATCCTGTAGCCACATGATAGGAAATGCTGTTATAGATGACAACGAACACAAGCAGCATCTGGGCCACAGATTAGATTATAATAACAGCCTTTGTGCTTGGCAAGAGAAAAATAATGGGTAATACAAAACTATAATCCTATTTTTCATGCATTAGATACCTATAAATGGCATATCTTGAATATAAGCTGTTGCTGTGAAACTTTAAATGTTTAAGATTTAAAAAGTGAACAAATCAGAGCTTATCATTTCAAGTCTCAATTTTGTGCTTTCCCCACAAAAATATACTCTAGGTTTCCAGAAAGTTCTCTAGAATTTTTGTTAATGGACGTCCAAAAGGTACCTGAGTTACCTGCCCTGGCCTTTTTTTTTTTTTTTTGTGACAGAGTTTCATTCTCGTTGCCCAGGCTGTAATGCAGTGGCGCTATCTCGGCTCACTGCAATCTCCCTCTCCTGGGTTCAAGGTATCCTCCTGCCTCAGCCTCCCCAGTTGCTGGCATCACAGGCGCGCACCACCACACCCGGCTAATTTTTGTATTTTTTTGGTTGAGACGGGGGTTTCACCATGTTGGCCAGGCTGTTCTCGAACTCCTGACCTGAAGTGATCCTCCTGCCTCGACATTCCAAAGTGCTGGGATTATAGGCGTGAGCCATCGTGCCCGGCCTCCCTGGCTTCTTATTTCACCTTTATAAATAGGCGTGGCCTATTGAAGACTGCACAGATACAACTGTGTATCAGAAAGTGTGACTGCAGAATTTTCTCTTCCAGAAACTGCAATGGAGCCCTCCTGTGGCTAATTTAATCCGGCCAATTTTCCTTGATCTAAGCAGAAAATCATATAAAGAAGCAGCTGTAGCTGCCGCCATCGCCTGAGGGGAGCGAGAAAAGGCCGGGGCGACCAGGGAGAAAACGCGGAGTCGCCACCGGAGAGAAGTCAACTCCCCAGCAGCAGCCGCGCCGGAGAGGCCCGCCCACCCATTCGCGCGTCCCCCTGCCCCGTTCACAATGCAGCCTGCTTCTGCAAAGTGGTGCGATCGAAGGGACTATGTCTTCATTGAATTTTGTGTTGAAGACATAAGGATGTTAATGTAAATTTTGAAAAATCCAACCTTACATTCAGTTGTCTTGGAGAAAGTGATAATTTTAAGCACTTAAATGAAATTGATCTTTTTTACTGTATTGATCCAAATGATTCCAAGCATAAAAGAATGGACAGATCAATTTTGTATTGTTTACAAACAGGAGAATCTGGCCAGTCATGGCCAAAGTTAACAAAAGAAAGGGTAAAGCTGAATTGTCTTAGTGTGGACTTGAATAATTGGGAAGACTGGGAAGATGGTTCAGATGAAGACAGGTCTAATTTTGATAGTTTCTCCGAGATGATGAACAACATGGGTGGTGATGAGGATGTAGATTTACCAGAAGTAGATGAAGCAAATGATGATTCACAAGACAGTGATGATGAAAAATGCCAGATCTGGAGTAAGAAATATTGTCATCACCTGGATTTTGAGAAAGAAAATAACTTCTCTCCAAGATTTCATAATTGAGAGAATTCCTGAGTTGATAACCCTAAAGGCAGATGCTGTATTTGCCTACTTTAACCCGTTTTTCAACCTGTTTATTTTTTAAAAGGCTTCACTAAGGGTTGATATGTACCATTTTAAGTCAGCTAAGGCAATAACCTTATGCGTGAACATTTCCCAGACTTTAGTGAAACTGTTGAGGTCCTAGGCAACTGATGCAGCAGTTGTGATAAATAAAAACATTTCACCTAAGTCTCCTTTTCTTCATAACATAGATACTGACATGATAGGAAGCTCTCAGCTTAGGTAAAGAGAACAAAATTTTAGTTTATAGGAGAGAGAATGACATTACTCCCCATATCATAGGGAGTGCACACCCCCCTGTGATATTATTCGTAATATTCAGGGAGGGAGAGGATGACATTAGTCTCCATATCGCAGGGCGCGTACGTTCCTCTGTGATATTGTTCGAAATATCCGGAGGGGGGAAGATAATATTACCCCCCATATAGGAGGGGTGTACGCCCCCCTGTGATATTGTTCATAATATTCAGGAAGGGAGAGGATGGCATTACTCTCAATATCGCAGGGGATGTACCCCTCCCCCCGTGATATTGTTCATAATATCCAGGGAGGGGAAAGATGATATTACTCCCAATATCGTAAACACCCTGTGTGTATGCCTTCTGTAACATTTTTCGTAATATCCTGTGGGAGGAGAGGATGATATAACTCCCAATATCGAAGGGGGTGTACATGCCCCTATGATATTGTTCATAATATCCAGAGAAGGAGAAGATGATATTTCTGCCAATATCGCAGGGGGTGCCAATATCAAGAAAAGGAGAGGATGATGTTACTCCCAATGTTGCAGGGAGTGTATACTCCCTGTGATACTGTTCGAAATATCCAGGGCGGGAAGAGAATGATGTTACTCCCAATATCGTAAAAACCCTGTGTTTGCACCCCCCTGCTGTATTGTTCGTGATACCCAGGGGAAGAGAGGATGATATTACTCTCAATATTGCAGAGGGTGTACAGCCCCTTGTGATATTATTTGTAAAGAGCAGGAGAGGGTAAGATGATACTACTCCCAATATCGCAGGGTATGTACATCCCCCTGTGATATGGTTCCTAATTTCCTGGGGGATATAGGATGATATTTCTCCCAATATCACAGGAGGTGTACACACTCATGTGATATTCTTCATTATATTAACGAGAACGGAGGATGATATAACTGCCAATATTGCAGGGAATGTACACCTTCCTGTGATATTTTTCATAATATCAAGTGGGGAGAGAGGATAAAATTATTCCCAATATCGCAGGGGGTGTACACAACACTGTGATATTGTTCGTAATATCCACGGGGGGAGAGGAGGATATTACTTTTAATATCGCAGGTAGTGAACATTCCCCTATAATATTGTTCATAATATTCAGAGTGGAAGAGGGTATTACTCTCAATATCGCAGGCGGGGTACATTCCCATGTGATATTGTTCATAATATCCACTAGAGGAGACGATGATATTGCTCTCAATGTGGCAGAGGGTGTACACGCGCCTGTGATATGATACACAATATCCAGGGGGGAAGTGAATGATAATCCTTTCAGTATTGCAGGGGTGTACACCCCCCTGTCACATTGTTCTCAATATCCAGGGGGAAAGAGGATATTACTCCCATTATCCCAGGGAGTGTACACCTTCCTGTGATATTGTTTGTAATATCCAGGGGAGAGAGGATGATATTACTACAAACATCGTAAGGGGTGTACATCCCCTTGTGATATTTTTGAAATACCCGGGGGGGGGGGGAAGAATTATATTACTCCCAATATCACAGGGGTTGTACACCCCCCTGTGATATTGTTCATAATATCCAAAAGCGGAGAGGATGCTATTACACCCCATATCGCAGGGGGTGTACACACCCTGTGATATTGTTCATAACATGCAAGGGGGAAGAGTATAATATTACACTTAATATTGCAGGCGGTGTACACCCCCGCGTGATATTGTTCGTAATATCTCGGGGGAAGAGGGTGATATTACTCCCAATATCGAGTGGGGTGCGCACCCCTCTATGATATTGTTCATAATATTCAGAGAGGGAGAGGATGATGTTACTCCCAATATCGCAGGGGGTGTACATCTTCTGTGATATTGTTCATATTATTCAGGAAGGGAGAGGATAATATTACTCCCAATATCGCCCGTAGTGAACACGCCCCTGTGATATTGTTGGCATTATCCAAGGGAAGAGAGGATGATATTACTCCCAATATTGCTAGGGATGTACACCCCCCGTGACATTGTTTGTAATATCCAGGGGGGAAGAGGATGATATCACTCCCAATATTCCAGGGAGTGTACAGCACTTTGTCATATTGTTCGCAATATCCAGGGAAGGGAGAGGATGATGTTACTCAACAATATCGCAGGGGGTGCACACCTTCTTGTGATATCGTTCATAATATCAAGAAGGGGAGAAAATGATATTACTCCCAATATCGCAAGGGGTGTACAGCCGCCTGTGACATTGTTCGTAATATCCAGAGAGGGAGAGGACAATATTATTCCGAATATCGCAGGGGGTGTACATCCCCCTGTAATATTGTTCATAATAGCCAGGGGGAGAGATGATGATATTGCTCCCAATATCCCAGGGGGTGTACAGGTCCCTGTTATATTGTTGGTAATATCCAGAGGAGGAAAGGATGATATTAATCCCAATATCAGAAACATGCTGTGTTAACACCCCTTAGTGATATGATTTGTAATATCCAGAAGGAGTGAGGATGATATTACTCTCAATATGGCAAGGGTTGTTCACTTCCAATTGATACTACTTCCAATATTGCAGGGGGTGTACACCCCCCTGTGATGTCATTCATAATAATAAAAGGGGGAGATGAAGATATTACACCCAATATCATGGTGGTGTACACATCCTTCTGATATTGTTGGGATTATCCTGGAGGGAGGTTGATATTACTACTAATATCGCAAGAGGTGTACATCCCCCTGTGAAGTTGTTCGTAATATCCAGGAAGAGAGAGGATGATATTACTCACAGTATTGCAGGGGGTGTACATCCCCTGTGATATTGTTCATAATAATCACGGAGAGAGAGAAAGATACTACTCCCAGTATCGCAGAAGCTGTACACACTCCCTGTGATATTCTTTGTAAATTTCAGGAAAGGAGAGGATGATATTACTGATATTACTCCCAATATCGCACTGGGTGTACACTCCCCTGTGATATTGTTCATAATATCCAGAAGGGGAGAGGATGATATTATTACCAATATCACAAAGGGTGTACACCCTCCTGTGATATTGTTCCTAATATCCGGGGGGGAGACGATGATATTACTCCCAATATCATAGCGGGTGTACACCCCCTTTGATGTACTTCATAATATCCAGGATGATAGAAGATGATATTACTCCCAGTATATTGTTCATAATATCCAAGGGGAGTGAGGATGATATTACTCCAATTATTGCAGAGGGTGTATACCCCTTTTTTAAATTGTTCCAAATATCCAGTGGGGAGAGGATGATATTACTCCGAATATCGCAGGGAATGTACATCTTCCGGGATGTTGTTCACAATTTCTATAAGGGGAGAGGATAATATTACTCCCAATATCATAGAAGATGTACACCACCCTGTGATATGGTTCGTAATATCCAGGGGAAAAGAGGATGATATTACCCCGAATATCCCAAGGAGTGTATACTCCCCTGTGATATTGTTGGCACATCCAGGGGGTAGAAAATGATTTTGCTCCCCGTATCCCAGGAGTTGTACGACCCCCTACGATATTGTTTGTAATTTTCAGGAGGGGAGAGGATGACGTTACTTCCCGTATCGCAGGGGGTGTACACCCCCATGCGATATTGTCCATAATATTTAGGCGGATATTGGATGATATTAATTCCCATATGGCACAGGGTGTACACACCCCTGCGATATTGTCTGTAATGTCCAGGGGGAGAGAGGATGATATTACTCTTCATATCACAGGAAATATACATGCCACTGTGATATTGTTCATAATATCCAAGGGTGGAGAGGATGATTTTACTCCCCATATTGAAGGGGGTATACACACCCCTGTGATATTGTTCATAATATCCACAGGGAAAGGAGTTGATGTTCCTTTTCATATCGAGGGGGTGTACACCCTGCTGCGATATTGTTTGTATTATCCGGGGGAGAAGATACTACTCCCAATATCGTAAACATTCTGTGTGTACATCCTCTGTGATACTGTTTGTAATATCAGGGTGGCAGAGCATGATGTTACTCCCAATATCACAGGATGAGTAAACCCTCCTGTGATACTGCTCCTAATATCCAGGGGAGGAGAAAATGATATTACTCCCCATATCGCAGGGAGTGTACACTCTCCTGTGATATCGTTCATAATTTTCAGGGGGTGGAAGGATGATATTATTTTCAATATCACAGGGAGTCCACCCCCCCGTGATATTGTTTATAATATCCACTGGGGGGGGAATGATATTACTCCCAATATCGCAGGGGTTGTACATCCCCTGTCATATTGTTTATAATATCCAGGGGGGAGAGGATAATATTACTCACAATATTACAGGGAGTGTACACCATTCTGTAATATAGTTCATAATATTCAGGGGAAGAGAGGATGATATTACTTCCAATATCGCAGGGTGTGTACACTCTCCTGTGATATCGTTTGTAATATCCGGGGGGGGCAGAGTATGATATCACTCCAAATATTGCAGAGGGTGTACACACTCCTTGTGATATCGTTCCTAATATCCAGGGGGTGAAAAGGATGATATTACTCCCAATATTACAGCCAAGTGTACATCTACCTGTGATATTGTTGCTAATATCTAGAGAGGGGGAAGAGGATGATATTACTCCCAATATCACAGGGGGATGTACACCCTTCTGGGATATTGTGTGTAATATCCTAGTGAAAAGAAAATGATATTACCCCCGATATCGCAGGGTGTGTACACCCACCTGTAATATTGTTCATAATTTCCAGGGGGGAGAGAATTATATTACTCCCTATATCGCAGGGTGTGTACACCTCCCAGTGATACTGTTTGTAATATCCACGGGGGGAGAGGATTACTCTGAATATCGCAGGGGTTGTAACCCCCTGAGACATTGTTCCTAATATCCAGGGGGTGAAAGGATGATATTACTCTCAATAGCGCAGGGGGTGTACACCCCCCTGTGATATTGTTCCTAATATTAGGATATATCCAAATGGGGAGACGATGATATTACTGTCAATATCGCAGGGGTTGTACACCATCTCTA